CCGGCCGGCCCAAACCCAACTCAGATTTTGCCTCCACACCCTCCCTGAACCCTTCCCCTTCACCACGCCCCCCCTATTTTCCGATTTCCACCCCCCAACCGCTGGACCCGACTCGTCGCTTCCACACTCGCTCGCTCTCTCTTGTGTTTTCTGCTGGTGTGTGTGTGTGTGTGTGGTGCCTGTGGTGCCTCTGTGTGTGTGTGTGTGTGTGTCTGTCCCCAATTCTAATCCCAAATCCACCCATCCATCCCATCCTCTCTTTTAGTCTTCCGCGTCGCAACCCCCTCTTCTTCCTATCAACTCTCTTTCCCCCAAAACCCTTTTCCGAAGCCGTTGTCGCTCTTTGACTTCAGCTTCGTGGTCCAATTCCAGTTGTAAATCTTGCAGATTTGCTTCTGGTCTTGCACCGTCCGCTCCTTTACAACTTCTTCAACTTTTCAACTTCGATAAATAGCATTTGTCTTAACTGGTCGCCCGGCTCTGTTCACGTCCGCAGTCGTGAACGCCAATTTCGTCCAATTCCCAATCGCCCTCGCGCCGCATTCGACACTTTCCGCAAGGTGCCCGCTCGCCCGCCAGTCCTTCATCATTCCGTGTTACGACGAAGGAAAAAACAAAGCACCGACGAGAGCCTGGTTTGCTAAGTCTGATGCCACAGAACTAATTACAAGTCTCGTCATCACCTCGCAAATCCCCCAACACGCGTCCTCCCACGTCAGGAAACGAACCACATCCCGACTTGATTCCTCTCGACGACCACTTTACTCCCTTTCACGACTTTCTATGTCCTTCGCCTAGTTTCTCACTGTCACGATTGCCGCAGCGCGGCCTAGTCGAGAATGGCAACTGCTGTTGGACCTGAGAGTATTATGGGAACACCGGCCACTCACCTTTTGGAGGACCCTTCGATGCAATCGCTCCCTCTCCCGGCAATGCTGGATAATTCTTCTACAACACCATCCTTTTCTGGCTCAGGTCCCCAACGATCACCGCGAACGATGCCTCCTCTGCCGAACCCTCCCTTCGTCTTCCCCGCGAGGCCTTCTTCGGCTTCCGCGCCTTCGTCCTTCTCAAGGGCAACTGGCCGACGTCCATTGTCAGCCATCGAGATTCAGGACAAGTCGTCTCCTTTTGCCGAATCCTTCGACCGGAGATCGCCTGCGCTCCCAAACTTCACTTTTAACCCGGGTGCTTCGTTGTCTCCCGATACCGCTTTGCTCAGCCCTCCGCTTTCTCCTCCGCCAATATCACCTCGCCTCGTGCCATCGCCCAACTCTCTGTCTGCTTCAAGGCCCGGCCACGGCCACAGACGAGGAGGAAGTGAATTCGTCGGTGGGAGCATTCGCTCTGGTGACTCCATCACAGTAGCGAGCACGAGCCCGACGAGACCAGAAAGTGGATTTGCGGGAAATGGTTTTCAACTACCCCCTCCTAAGCCTCCGGGTCGTAGAGGCCACCAACATCGCCGATCTGCTGCCCTCTCAAGTCACGATTTGTCTCTCATCCTCCAGCCTCCCACGTCAGGGCCCCCTCGAGGGAGCAGCGCGCCAACAAGCCCTTCTGACTACGACAACAGACACTTGGACAACCAACCCACAGGGCACGACGAAAAGACATTGAAGTATGTTGAGTCTGAGCCTTCGCTGAAGGTGCCCAGGGAGATGCACACACCGTCGGACGGATCAGCAAGCTCGAGTGGCCGAGCGTCACCCGTGGCCAGGCCAGTGACCCGCGCTCGCGTTGGCTTTTCTGATACACTGGAATTCATTCCACGCCCATTGTCTATGGTATCTAGCGACACTTCCAGCACCGTCACAGCTCGACCCGGCGGTCATTCCGTATCGGGCAGCATCTCCTCCATCATCTCTATCCCAACCATCACAAATATTGAGACGGAACCCGTTATTCCTCTCGTACTCACACCGTCACGCCAGACCAGCGAATCCAGACCAAGCACAGCTGGCGCGGTATTAGAACGGTCCCAAAGCATTCAGTCTGTGGGAGCTTCTCCCAGAAGGCGGAACTCCATTCCTGCACTCATCAACGTGGCCGAGGCAGCCAGCGTTGGTCCGCCTATGCCCAGTCCGACGAAAACACCAAAACGCTGGTCATTCTTCGGTCTTGATCCCTTTGCTGCAGCAGCATCGCCATTGCGTAATAGACCCGTCAGCTCCAGTTCTTCTGAATCTGCATCAAAACCCAACAGCTTGTCGTCATCTTCCTCGGAACATATTTCAGAATCCGTAGGAATCTCGGACGCCTCCGATCCCCACAGCAAGGACGGCAAGAAGTCCAAGAAGAAGAAGAAGGTCAAAACCTGGGCTGGCTCTATCCTGACCCGCAAGGAGAAGCGGCGGGCCAAGAAGTGCAAGGATCTAGACCTCTCCGCTGAGGTCATTCGACCCGAGCCTGTGGAACAAGAGGTCAAGGAGGAAGTCTTCCTCGCTGAACCCGAACTTGACGTTGAGCCCGTCACCCCTACACTCCTTGTCACGGACTCCTCCAGTCAGCCACAAGCTGTTCAAGAGTGGAAGCCGCGACCAGCCTCAGCCCAGGACGACACCTCTTTCCCCATGATCGACCTGGATGCCGCCCTTGGCCCCTTCAACACCCCTCTTCCCAACAACCCGGAGTGGGAGGCAGCCCAGAAAGCCGCAGGCTCCTCGAAGCGCCAGCTGCACAGCGCGCAGGGCATGAAGGGCTTTAGCGGACCTGGCATGCACTACCACCGGCGAGCGGAGAGTGCGCCGGAGATGGTCCCCTTCGAAGCCGGCCGCTTTGGTATTCACCGCTTTGGTAGCAGCTCAACCATGGCTGATGTGTTCGAGGAGGATGAGGAGGAGGATGAAAATGGCGTCAAGTCTCCTACCTCGCAAGCTCGGGTTGTTGCTCGGAGGGGAACTGCTCAATCTGACCCGGATGTGCCTACTGACGAGACAACCCCGCCTGCCACAACTTTTACGAAGCCTATACTCGACGTCATGCCGTCTAACATTGTCGACGACAGCACCGCCGAGTCAGCTTCGATAAACACCGACAAGGAAGTGAAGAGGGGTACAAGCATGCGATCTGAGAGGTCTGTGGCTTCTCTGCAAGAAACAACAATCCCCGAGGAGCCCGTACCTGAGTTACCCGAAATGCCAGAATTCCGAACAGCATCTCTCTTCCAGGAAAAGGCAGAGTCCAGCGGTTCCGAGACTCCTTCGCCTCGCCGAATTCTCGCAAGCAAGGACTTGGCGCCTGTCGACGTCAGTCCTTTGCACTTGCCGACGCCCTCCAATGTTCCCGTCAGCCCTTACTCCATGAGCCATGCTTCTTCGTTCCCATCACCTCGGTCACCCATGTCCTACGACGCCCAGCGCATCTCAACGGCGCCATCGTCGGTCAACGAGGAGAACAACTTCCAGTCTCTTCTTCTCGGCGAGCCAGGCCCTGAGGTTAGACTCTCTGTGGACATCCCTTCTTTGACCTCCAGTCATTCAACCATGACAAGGGATAGCTCGTTTGCCACCAACTCCCAATTCAGGCCGGAGAGCTTCCGCCCCGAACAGCAACGACCTGTTTCTGTGTCATCTGCTGCTTTCGGATCGGGTGCATTTGGTCGTCGGCGATCAAGTCTCGCTAGCCTGAGCAGGCTGATCAGCAGCTCACACGGCGAAAGAAGCAAGCTCTCGATGGAAGTTTCATATGATGGTGAGACTGATAAGAAGCACAAGTCCAGCAAGTCGAAGCGGCTCAGCCGGATGATGCGATTCTGGAAGCCCAACAAGGAAGACAACTCGGCGTAGGACCGTCGACAAGTTCCCTCTTTCTCACCATCCAGACCGGGCGATTGGTCGCAAGCTGCCCAGGGCGCACCTACATCGATAAAGGTGACTTCACGACGCATGTATATGGAATTATTGTACAACTTTTTTACACTTTCTCTCTCGGCGGATCTGTCTGACGAGATAATGTCTTTTTTTACTGGAAAAGGGGCAACGACTCCAAAGCGAACACGTTCGGTAGACGTCACCCATCACCAACGTACTCCTACCACCAGATGAAAAGCATCTCAAGCTCGGCGCTGGTCTCTACACGAAGTGTAAGGCCAAGCGTTCTCGATAATACGAGCTACTTTGGGACATGAAATCGGCGTTCTTTGTGATGATAGCATGAGCAGCAAGTTGCATGAGCATAGCAGCAGGTACGCGGCCATATGTCTTTAGGCACTATGCGAGGGGGCGGAAACATGTGGTTCAAAGGTTTTGTTTCCGTTCTCTGGACATATCAGGGATGAATTGCGAATTAAGGAAGGCGAAAAGAAAGGAGGCAGACAAGTCGAGACACAATTACAGTGTTCTCTTGGTTCTTTGGTCGGCTGGCTGCTTCAGCCCTGTAGACGATGGACAAACCGCGACGTAGACAAATATTAATGAACATATTTCTGAGTAACCTTGAGTATGATGAAGCGTGATTACATGAGACGAACGATGAGTGTGACACGTAACGAGACGCAACGTCTCCATCGTGGGACATCATCTGCTGCCACGATGGGGCACGCAGGTTTGCGGAGAGCACCCGCAAAGTCAGGGGCCGAACGATGGGCCCGATGTGCGTGTGAACAGCATGGCCAGGAGCCTCGGTAGAAGCCGTGGGATCCACTTCGTTGTCGCGTCATACGTTTGATTGGTTGGCGCACTTTGGGGGAAAGGTACCCCGTGGTCGAGCTCCAGGCTGTTGGATACACTTGCCTCACGCTACCTGACGTCTGGGCTAAAGCGAAGAGCTCCCCCCATCCGAAAGTTCGACACCTCCATGCCAAAGCTCCAACAAAGCTACCTCTCCAATCGCGACTAGCAGTTTTCCACGTGAGCCAGCGCGCATACCGTACATTCCTGGATTCCAACCGTCTGGTTCGCATACAACCAGCAGCACCGCGAAACTAGATCTGGACCCAAACGGCGCAGCTCTTGGCACCATCCCTTCGACCTCATTCTTCCTCGGCGCCCATCCTCAAGATGTCGTGGCGAATCCAGAACCTCCCCGATTCTAGCTCAAACTCAACGGGCCCAGCAGTTGGGGGCAAGAAGAAGTCCAAGTCCTCGTCGGACGGCCGCGGCGCGATCAAGCGCCTCATCAAGGAGCTTGACGTCTGGCGCGGGGAACAGAAGGACGAGAGGGGCATTGAGAGGCTCGGGCCGGTCGACGATGAGGACTTGTTGCTATGGCAGGCTGTGATCAATGGACGGGGGATTGGGAATGGATATGATGGTATGAAAGACAGAACTTCCCCCTCGCTCCTCGTCAATTGCGCTTCTTGGCAACCTCCTTCCCCCTCTCTCCCTACTCCTCAAGCTCCTAGCCAAGAGAATACGCACAAGTGTATACATTGCTAACGACTTCCTTTCCACAACAACACAGACGGCCGCTGGCTCCTCGAAATCAAGATCCCGACAGACTACCCCCTCCGCCCGCCGACGATACGCTTCGTCACGCCAATCGTGCACGCAAACATTGCCCTGCAGACGGGCGAGATCTGCCTGGACCTGCTGAAGGACGCCTGGACGCCGGCGTACAGCGTCCTCGAGAGCGTGCGCGCCGTGCGTACGCTGCTGGCGTACCCGGAGACGGACAGCCCGCTCAACGTCGACGTGGCGGCGCTGCTGCGCGGCGGGGATGTGCTGGGCACCCGCGCTCTCGTCGAGTTCTGGTGTCGGGACGACGAGGGACGGTACGACGGCCCATAGGGTCGCTTTCTCGTTGACGTGGTGGGAACCCCCACCCTCCCCGTTATCGGGGATGGCGTTATTCATCTCGAGGTAGGGGAGGAAGAGAGCATGGGAAAAAGCAAGCGCATTCAACACGCCCTGCGTTGGAAACGGGGCAACAACGAAAGGGAGAGACAAGCAGGAAATTTGGACGGGATTTGGGGAGCGGAAATGGGACGGGGTCTTTTGGACAGTTTATAATCTTTATTATTATTCCTTGGCTGGTTGCACATGGAAGGGATGGCGCGCGTGGGTTGGGTAGGTTAGGGAAAGGCATCTGATAAGACGACTCGTCAGGCTGTAATTTCCCATGGGATCAGAAGTTGGGACATTTCGTGGTGTATGTACCCTCGTGCAAAAAACAGAACACCATGTTCATCTCGCTCTCTATCACACTGCCTGGGCGCAACGTAACAAAAAGAGACACCTTCTAATGCTGCAAGTCTGTCCTGCGTCAACAGTACGTAGCCCGTTTCTCCCCGCCATTCTCGATCCCTGGCGCTTCGTTTATTCTTACACAGGTGGGACGCTTCGCATCTGCTCAGGATCCTCGCCGGCGCCCGCAGCCTGCCTACCCGCCCACCGTGCCTATTTCCTTGACTCCTGGTCCTGAACCTATCGTCGCCTCGATAAAAGTCTGTATGCGTAGTTTGTTGTTTGTGTGACATGGGCAAAAAAAAAATATACTACAAAAACGCCGTCTCTTTACTTTTCGCACCTCCCTTTCTCCTCCTCAAATTTCGAATGCAATTATGTCGGCAAGATACAGGATGGGTATCTGCACACTAAAAGGCATATGTTTCCAATGGACAAGAAAGCACCGCACATAAATTCGTAATGCCGCCGCCGCCGCCCGGGCCGTGAACTTGTCGACGGCGGCTGATGAAGGAGGAAACGGGTGTTTACAGGTCTGTCACCTCTGGGGTACAAGAGTAGTGGGCGTGCTCCTGTTGCTGCATCCCGTCATGATGCTTAATCATTACTCATTGTAGTGGTAAACCTGCACATTGTCAGCATGAGTTGTACGGCCTTGGTTCAGGGGTTTGTTACTCACCCTATAATTCGGGAGCCCAAACGGTTGCCAACCTAAGCGTTTCGCCATCTTGGCGAAGCCCTCGGTTTCGATGAGATGATAGAAGGCGAAGGGAGGGAACATGGCGCCATCGCGGTGGACGTCGGCCTTGACCAGCAGCGCCGTACCACCGACGCCGTCGAGAGGAATCTCTGCGCTCTTGTCCTTTTCATCGGTACCCAGGTATGCCATCAACGCGCGGTACGTTGGCATGTCCTTGTAGCCCTCAAGCAGAATGTCATCGCGGCCCATGGACTCGGCCATTTTTTGCGCGATCTCGCTGTCCTGCCAGCTGTTGAAATCGTACGGCCGCTCGTCCATCTTCTTGGTGTCCTCGTTATAGTATCGCTGGAAGCAATTGGGCACAATGACGGGCTTGTCATGGGCGGCCAGATCCTGGATGAGACTGGGCGGCGTCTCGACAATGTCGGCATCGAGCCAGAGAACCCACGAGGTCTGAGGACCAAGAGTGGTGAAAAGCAGCGAGTTGCGAGCTTTGGACATGACCGCACGCCTAGCCTTTTGGTTCTCCATCTTGTGCCGCTCTGCTTCGTCCTGGGATGCTATGGCGGGCTCGAAGTCCTGCCTCATGATGACGATGCTCTTGAACTTTTTCTCGGTGTCCTGGGTCCTGGTGATCTGCTCCTGCAGAGCGGCGGTCGCGGCGTTGCCCTCCTTGGTCTTGGGCAGGATGAAGCCGAGAGAGATGAGATCGTGAGGATAGCTCAGGGTCAGCAAGTTATCCCAGTACTCCTGATAGAAGCGGGACATAGGCGTGAGGATGAGGACAGACTCGCGGTTGGTGATTGGGTCGGGAGTAATCGTGACATTGTTGAGGTTGTAGCGGACGACTGGGGGCGGTCTTGTGTCTGATTTCGACTTCTTTCGGTAGGGTGCGGTCGGCGGCGAGAGATGGTGGGAGGCGGTGCCTGCGGGCTCTGGCCTGGAGGACTTGGAAGGCCCGACAAGGAAGACGATGATGAAGATGCACAGGAAGACACCGAGGACGAGGGTCACTGGGTTCGCCTTCTTCAAGCGGACTGACCCCATGGGGCGAGCCATGGGTGCTGTGGGTGCTCACGCGGAGGCGATGGAGGACGTGGAAATCATAAATTTTGATCGCAGACGGGAGGATTGTCGTCGACGGCAGTTCGCTTCGATCCTCTTCGCGCAAGCAGCTAGGTTGGAGGTTCGTAGCTTTCGGGACAGCGGTTCGGCGCGCGCGCTCTCTCTGGGCGTATTGGATACGTGGGTATCAAAAGAGTGTAGATGCGTTCTTGCGGATGAGAGTAAGGAAAAGGTTGGCCATGCAGGTTGGACGGAAGTCGAGATAAGATGCTCCCTCTCGTGGCTCTCTCTGGCAGGAAGGAGCGAGAAATTTGGCCAGATACGAGATTCCGACGGTTGATTCGGGCTGGTAGCAGGTCGATCGAAGGGATGCGCATGGGGAGGACAGCTCTACACTAGAGTTGCAATTGGGCTCACAAAAGGGGCTTAGCGGCATCTCCCCTCGAGGACTAACACAAACTCCGGGCCGGCACTGCAGCCAAATGCTCCTGTCAGGGACTGCCAGGGCCTGTCAGGGCTCACCTCAGCATGCAGGGCGCTGACAGTTACGGGCGAGACAACGCTGTAAACTTGCGACCAGTGTGCGACGGCCACGCTGAGAGGTGCTAAGACCACGGTTAACTGCAGGCGGATGCGGATGGCTCAGAAGGGGTGGAATCTCGAGGCTGCACCTCAGTCTGACCCCTGAGACCTGCAGTGGAGTCCCACTAAGTTTCTAACATGGGGCGCGCCGTCAGAGGCTATTCTCAGGACGTGAGGTGGGTGGATTGGAATTTGCTTAGCTCGAGGCGTGGGTTTCTCCTTCCGAGTCCCGTCGAGTCCATTATCTCTGGTCCAATCAGGAGAGCCCCGCCAACCGTGGAGAGAGCTGTACCAAGTGGTTCAAGCCTTCAAGGTGTGCACCAGCCACAGCCACTCACACCGCCCGGAGACGGCCAGGTTCCCATCCTGTGGCTGTCGGCTGCTCCGTCCGAGCTCACCTGGCGCAGTGGAGGTCGCCTTGCCGTCGTCGCATCCAAAGAGCGCCGGTTGTCCAATCCATCCTGCAGCAAACCTTCTATCCGCATGGCCGAGGCTTAATATTCGCGACAGTCAATTCGGCCTACCGCTCAGTCTCTCAACCTTTCTAGACCGCAGCAATTCATTCAGAGTTCCACCATGGCGGACAAGTTAGACCGTAGTCTCGACGAGATCCTCGCCGGCGAAAAGGTACCGTCTCTGCAGCTCCTCCTCACGCGATGCCTTTCCCAAGCTGACGATGCATCAACAGAAGAGCGGCGGCCCTCGCAACCACAACAACAACAACAACCGCCGGGGTGGCCCTCCTCGAAGGCGCGAACGTGAACGCCAGGAATACCCTCGTGATGGCGTTAGAAAGGTACGACGCGATACTCCGACCCCTGATGTTCACACGCGGTAGACCATCAGGCTCACCGGCCAGGTTGAATGATCCTCCCTCCTCATCCCGGTCGATTTCGATTCTCGCACCAGTCGGCCCAAAATGGACGCCTCGTTGAAAATCGGGACCACTTCTTGTCAATTGGAAGGGCCTAGCTAACAGGTGTCGCCGCCTGCGATTCAGTCGTTCCGTGATGAACCCAGAAACCTCGACAGGTAAGCTCAACGAGAACCGAACGTGCTGGCAGCATGCTGACATCGCCACAGTGAATGGGTCCACGATCGTTTCGAGGAACACGGTATGGCTCGACAAGTTTTAGCGGCCTCATACCCAATTGCTAAAGCCCGACAGATTCCCGCCGCGGCCCAAACAACCGAAGAAGACGTGACTCGCCGGAACAAAGGTAGCTTATATGTGTCCGATACCGTGGGAAGATACTAACGCATCGCATCAGAGACTCCAGCAGTGCGAAGCTGCGCGTCGATAACGTACACTATGAGCTGACTGCCGAGGACCTCGAGGTATGGACGAGTGCAACGCAATGACGGGATAATGAAGCTAAAAACGGGCGTAGGAACTTTTTAACAGAATTGGCCCCGTTGTGAAGCTGGATCTCAAGTATGACCGCGCTGGACGGTCTGAAGGTATTGCCTTCGTCACAATGTCAACTCGCGAGGACGCTCAAGAGGCGATCAAGGAGTTTGACGGTGCCAATGCCAATGGTACGCAGCCTGGTGCTTTCCTGCGATTATCCGACGCTGACCCGCTGCAGGCCAACCTATCAAGTTGTCGTTCATGTCTGGTGGGCACGGCGGTCGTTCTTCTCGCAATCCCTTCGACTCTGCAGTCATGCCGGGCCGCCCTCTTTCCGAGCGCATCTCCGCACCCGGAGGCCGATCAAGATCGATGTCGCCCGGTCGGAAATACGACATGGACGATGCTGCCAGCAAGGGCATCGACAGATACATTCCCGGAACCCGCTCGCGCAGCCCCATGCCGCGTCGACGTGGCGGAGGTGGCGGAGGTGGCGGACGCAGGCCGGGTGCCCGCAGAGAGGGCCAGCGAGACCAGGAGGGCGGTCGTGGTGGAGGAGGAGGCGGTGCTGGAGGTGGCAGAAGCAACGGGCGGACTCGGAAGACACAGGAAGAGTTGGACGCCGAGATGGCGGACTACTTTGGCGGAGGAAACTCCGGCGAGACTGCGCCTGAGGCAAACGGTGGCGCAAATGCTGCCGGTGCTGCTGCTGCGGCTGTCCCCACGGACGATATCGACATGATTGAGTAATCCCCTCCGCACTTGTCTGTGTAAAGTTCATGCAGACATGCAGAAGTTGGACGTGTCGAAGGCGTCACGAGGTGCCTCAGACAAGGGAGGGAAGGAAGCAAGACACGTGGACGGCCAGGTGTGTAGAATGCCATTGTTCGAGTTCACCAATAGCATCTTGGACCCTTATAGAAACCAACAATTAGCAACCCCTCTTCGAAAGACCAACTTCCGGGACGTGGAACGCAGGTCAAGGTCAGGGCACCAATCATGGGAGTTTGGACCCTTTGGCGGACTACGGTCCGGTTTTCGAAATATCCCAAGATCAAGATTGTCGTGCCAATGTTCCTGTTGAGGTCTGCAGATCCCCAAGTTGCCTCTTCGCGGATGGCCAAGGACAAACAGGCCTGATCCCTTGGACTTGCAGGGCCATTGCAGCCGCAACGTCCCGTGTTGCGGCTGCCGAATACAAGGGACATGCCTTTCTGGGGAGGCCCACGACTAAGCGGCTGTCCCCCCAAAAAATCAAGTTTCCCAAATGGAGGGCAGCCAGCGGCGCAGCTTCCAACCGGGGGACCCTCCATGCATGTGACATGCAACTTGGCAACGTTGGCAACGTTCTCCAAAAACCAAGGAATGGAAATCGCCCCAGGATTGTCTGCCCAGGTCCCATCCCCCGCCAAAGTGCACGGCCAACCTGCAACGTCAATGTGCATGCACCACCTGCTGCACGCGCCGTACTCACGGCAGCTGCCTTTTACTGCCCCGGCCCCAGTCCTGCCGCCCTTCTCGACGCCGCTCCTCCCTGCCTCTTCCCCCTCTGCCGTCATTCCAAACCTTGGAAATCGTTGCAACAAAGATGGAGAGTCGCCGTTGAACCGCAAACAACAGACCCAAGGTAAACGGGGACACCGACGCTTTAACTCTCACCGCGCCTGCGACTGTAAACGGACCGACGATAATTGCAACGCAGCAGCATGACTGTCGCTGGTACGCATTTTGGCTTATATCTCCCAGCGGCGACCGCATCCTCTCCCGCTGTTCACGCTTTGCCGCTGCTTCTCTACGACTGAATCGCGACCACGTCGATCGACACTCAAACATACATTCCAACTGAAGGAGCACGACACGAGGGTTTGTTTCAACCCTCCAGGCTCTAACATCTTACTTTCTGAGATCAGCGCGACATACGCAACCGCTGCCTGCTGTCTTTGACATTGTCTGGCCATCCCGACCTCTCCCGGAGGCCTTGCAACACCCCTTAACTACTTCTATATTCCGTCATCATCTGGTCAACCAGCCTCGTGGGAAGGTCTTCATCTCTTGTACGGGATGGAATCTGCCCAGCACACGGAGGGCCCTTCGCCATCAACCAACAGCAGACGTCCACCTCGCAATAACTCTACACAACGGACACAAAGATCCAGCTCTCAGCCGCCTAGGCGTAGGAGACCCTCTGCGCGTCCTCCGCCCTCAGACTCTGGAGACGTAAGGTCGGTGTCAGACGGCTCAGAACGTGAACGTGGAAGCGACGTTGAGGAACTTGGCCGTTTCCCACCAACCCCACCACCTAACTCGTCAAGGCAATCGAGACCTAGACCAAGACGTCCTACTGCCTCAAATTCAAGACCGACGCTGGCGCCACCGATGCCGTCAGAGGATGAACAACTAACAGACCCGGTGCCTCGCCGGCCGGCCATACCGGTACGGCGGTCTGCACCCAGAAGGATCCCGCGCCTTGGCGACCCCAACGCGCCCTCCGCGGCGTCTGACACCGACACGACGTCGAGCTCCTCGTCGTCGGGGGTCCCCCCTATTCGACGACGTCCGATCCGGACACGGACGGAGATGGATCTTTCCCTTCGGGGACCGATCCTCGAACAGTCTCAAGAGGGGACTATTGTGCCCCCGGGCGTGGAGTTTGGGCCGGACTATGACGGCGACAGACCCCTGCCGGTGCGGACTAGGAATCCGCGCGACATCCTCGACGACGGTGAACGGGGATTCATTGTCGATCTGAAAATGAACCTCGAGATCGAGATTCAGCTCAAGGCTGCCATCATGGGAGATTTGACGCTTTCTGTATTGTAATGTGCGATGTGTGATGATGGGATTCGGCATTTTTGTTTCCAAAGGCATGTATGAATATTGGTTTGGCGCACGTAATGGGTTACGCTGTAATAATAAACGGAAAGGGGGCTACGAAAATAAGAACGGGTCGGTCTCATCTGGATGACGGTGCAGGGCGTTACGGACTTTCAGGTTCAGCGGATGGAGCGGATGTGCATATGAATTACGTAGAGGCGAGGGATGAGTAGGCAGAGTGAATGTCTTCAAACCACAGTTGCTTCCTTGTGATCGTGACTACCATATGTGCGAAATTGCTGTGTTATCTTGCTAGAGGCGCCTGGAGGGATCATGCTATCTACCATTCTCACCGTTCTTACACTTCAGTCTGTCTTCTTCTTCTTCGTCTCGAATCCCTCCGTCACAGCGGCCGCAACATCCTCGAGCGTTGTGCCCCTCTTCCTCTTTTTAATCTTCTCAGCCCCCAGCGGAGAATCTTCCACTGCCTTGTAAACCCCCGCAGCTCCCAGAAACATCTCGGGCCCGAAACCGCCCTCCTCGGAATGGGTCTTGCTAATCTCCTCCATCTCCCTCACCCATCTGTAAGCCTTGGGCGGCATCGTCGTGACGCCCTTCTCGGCAAACTGTAGATGCGTCGGTAGCCGCGCGGATAGCTCCTCGCGCAGGTTGTCCAGGACGCCGAGACGTGAGGCTGTGGTGAACGACTGCGTCGCGATGGCGGTGAAGCCCTTGGACATGGATGCAAAGCACATCTTCAGCCCGCTCGCGGCGCCGATCTCGGGCGAGATGTGCTTCCCGCCCAGCACGGCGCTCAACCTCGCACCCAGACCTTCTGCGCCGCCCGGGAAGTCAACGAGCTTGTCGGGCCCGGACATGGGCATCCCGGGGACGACCCAGTCGTCACCGTCTTCAGTCGGCGGGGCCGAGGAGGAGGAGACGTTTGTTCCCGCGTTCGGAGCCGAGCGAAGGCGGGGCGGGGCGCCGATGATGCATGCGTCGATGAAGACTGCGGGGACGCGGGAGCGGGTGAAGGCCGCCGCCATGGACTTGCAGGTCGAGGGCGCGACGGCGTTCATGTCTATGAAGTAGAGGGGGACGGGGCGGGTGGTCCCTTGGAGGGCGTCGATGATGCGGTCTGCGGTGGCCTCGGCGTCGCGCGGGGGCACGACGGAGAGGACTGCGGCGCATTGGGATGCTAGGTCGAAGTCTGAGTCTATTAGTTCTACGCCCGCGTCACGGGCGCGCTGGATTGTGTCTTCGCTATGAAGGAGGTTAGAACTGAGACGGCCTTGATGTGATGGGTGGTGAGTGAGTGAGTGAGTGAGTGAGTGAGTGAGCGAGTTGCGTACCTGCGGCCTTTGACGTTTGTTGCGACCTCGAAGCCTTTGGCGATGAGGAGCTTGGCTATGCCTACGCCCATGTCACCAATGGAGATAACTCCAATCTTTGAGGGTGTTACGCCGTTGGTAGCCATTTGGGGGATTAATATCGACGGGTTTATGTGAGATTAGTTGATGTATGTGATGAGTTGGTGTTGTGGAGGTTGAAGATTGCGGCACGCAGCCACTTGAGCTGCAGTTACAGAATTGCGTCAGTTTCCGGCTCGTTATTGCCGCGCACAGCCAGGCGCCAGGACACAACAGATGAACTAATGATGAGTGCCCGATTCCCGATTTTCATAGAGACTGGACGACATTGCACATTTGGCCTCGAATATTATATGGTGTTATCTATGTCGGTGATGCTGTTTTGCGGTGTTACAAATTATAATACACGAGCTTTGCGCTCGACTACAACCCATGCATTTACCGTACCACCTCAATCTTTGTAACCGACCCATGTGTCTGGCACGTCAAGCTTCGTCTCGGTAGTATGTGCCAGCTTAACTCCTTGAGAGGCGATGAAAAGTCCGTGGCTGCTGACGGCACCAAAGTAACCGGGCACGATTTCCCACCCCGACGGACCTTCGGTAGAGGCCGTATCCTCCGCGAGTGCGCTCTCTGAAGCTCCGAAGGCGACGCTTGCAAATGAGCATTGAGTGGGAGACAGCGCCGGCTTGGCGGTGGCGGGAGGAGAGACGAAGTACTGGACGTATGAGCCCGGGGCCACGACGCCTTCTTGGGCTTTTCCGTCGTGTTGGCTAGAGAAGGAGCGGATGAAGCTATCAAGGTCCTCTTCCTCAGAAGAGGGTGAATACTTGGTTTCGGGGTCCAGGGAGAGAAGGCCTTGCTTCTTTCCCCACCCACCTCCGCCACTCACTGCGACGATTATTAGCACGTCAAGACTAGGTCAGTATCTCAGAAGGGGTCTTACGGATTCTGTAGACTCTGGTGCCGTGACTCAGCAGACCCCGCATGAAACCCTTCGTGTCCAAGGCGTGCTTCCACTCATCTTCCGCAGTACTGTTCTCATTCAGCCTGTTTGCCCACTCCCGTAGAAGCTCCACGTCTTCGGACTGCTTGGCGGAGGGCGGGACAACCACGGCCCAAACGCCAACAGGACCCGGAGGGAACTCGTGGCCTTCATTCAGTCTTCTGTCAAAAAGAGTTTGAACGGCAGTTTCGAGCTCCTTTGACGCCGGGGTAGGTTGATCATTAACCTCAATTTGCCGAATGATGTTGCCCAGACCGCTGAGAATCTTGCGAGGGGCTGTTATGGGAACCAATGGCGCCTCAATAGCAGTCTCGGCACTGGCGAGGTCGTGATGGAAACACACGTCTTGGGTCTGTTTCTCCGCGACCTCGGCCTGAACCATTTTGTTTCCGGATCTGCTCCAGCGGGTTGCTAGAAGCGTCGATTGCCTGCCGTTCTGGAATATGGTGTTGGCCAGAGGCATCGTACATGTCATGGAAGAAGAAAACGTTTTGAGAGGGCTGAGCTGGAAGTTGAGGGATGCCTGCAGCTTCGGATTGCTCGAGGGTTTTGACTGAGAGTCCTTCCACAAGTTGGGAAAAAGCGAGTCGAGGTTGCCACGATAGAAGGAGAACCCGTGGGGGATCTCTCCGAGAGGCTGAAGAGGTTGAAGGCCATCCACTGCCGCGGCAAGAGTATGGAATCCGCTAGTGTCTTGATTAGATGCCGAGAAGGGCTCTATGAGACTTCCCATGAACTTCTCATCCTGAAGCCAAGATGCAAACTGGCGAGAAGCGAGGATGAGCAGAGCATCTTTCTGCTTGCCATGCTCCAACTGAGCGCCTTTGATTGTCGTGATGAGGCTGCTCTAAGTCATTAAGGTCAGAGTCAAGAGATAGACAAGTTTTGGGGTAATATTTGAAATGTACCTTTGAATTATTCGCGTTGCCATGAACGGAGAATCGAGAGACCTCAGAGAACCATCTTCTGGAAACTGGGGGTTGACGGATGTGACTGAGCCGTGAGAAGGCCCTCGGCGAGTACATCGCGTCACCACTTTTCTTCGGTGTTGTCCGGGTTTTCACCTAGAAACTACAGTATCCTGCATACACGGCAGTCTTCAAGATTGCGATATCAAGCAATTGAGTCAAAAAGAGTGTTTATAATCAGGATCTGAGAAAGGAAGGTCGGATTGTAAGACAACAAAAGTCCCAAATCTCAGGACGATGACTGAATTGATGATGCTTCAATTGGACGCCATGGCTGTCCAGTCATCCACGGTGCATCTGGGGAACCCTTTCCCAGGCCAGGGGACCCGCTACCGGGCTAGGTTGCTTATCGATACGCAGAGACCCCTGCGCAACTAGCCACAGTGGAGGGCCTTAGGCGTGCGCCGGATCCGATTTTGCGCATGATGGCGGACGACCCCTCCCTCCCACGCCGCTCAGCGCAGACCTAGACGTCCAATCCTGTGAGTCAAATTCGAGGAAGTGCTGCCAAACAGACCGCCGAGTCATAATTCCCTGCCCCTCATCGGGAAACCTCTGTGCTCTTATTTTTTCCCACCTGGTATTTGGACATAAGTTGAAGCCCCTCTCCCTCGGGCTTCTTCACCACAATATCCACCACGTCCAGATCAATATTTCTGCGAGCACTCCGCGTGCGCCCTCCAATCCTCAGTCCACGTCCAATTGTCCGTTCTTGTCGAAGTCTTCGACCTTTTCACCAGACACGTGCCACCATGGCTACCGACAGCGGACGCGGAAACCCCAGTACGCCTACCCCTCCATCCACCCCCACATTCTCACGATGCCTTTTCCCACCCCGCGCATCTGGTTTGTCGTATGATTCGACCTTGAAGCTGATCGTGTGTTCTTGTGTCTTGTAGTCGGTGCCACTGAGGGCCTCAAGGAGGAGGTTCCTCCCCCTGCCTCGAACGAAACGAAGGCTCAGGTCGCCGCGACCGCCGATACCCATGCTGCTGGCCAGGACGCCGGCGCCGTCGCCGGCGCGGAGCCGAAGGTGAAGACCGAGAAGGAGCTGAAGAAGGAGCGCGCGAAGGCCGAGAAGGCTGCCAAGTTTGCGCAGAAGCAGGCTGCCCAGGCCGCGAAGGCCGCAACTGCTGCTCCTTCAAAGAAGGCCGAAAAGAAGGCCAAGGCCGAGAAGAAAGAGGAGGAGGCTATCCCTGAATACGTTGAAGATACCCCGAAGGGAGAGAAGAAGCGCCTCAAGTCTCTTGAAGATCCCCACTTCAAGGCCTATCACCCCGAGGCTGTCGAGAGCGCCTGGTATGAGTGGTGGGAGAAGGAGGGCTTCTTTAGTAAGACGCAGATGGACATATGAGGAATTCTGAGCTGACACCGCGACAGAGCCCGAGTTCACGGCCGAGGGCAAGTGCAAGCCCGCGGGCAAGTTCGTCGTTGCCCACCCCCCGCCGAACGTCACTGGTGCTCTGCATCTTGGTCACGCCCTTGGTGACTCGCTCCAGGATATCATGATTCGATGGAACCGCATGTTGGGCAAGACAACGCTTTGGCTGCCCGGTTGCGATCACGCCGGTATTTCGACGCAAAGCGTTGTCGAGAATATGCTCTGGAGGAGAGAAGGAAAGACCCGTCATGACCTGGGCCGTGAGGACTTTGTCGACAAGGTCTGGACCTGGAAGGGCGAATACCACGACAAGATCAACGCTGCTCTCCGAAAGATGGGAGGAAGCTTCGATTGGAGCCGTGAGGCTTTCACCATGGACGCGAACCTGTCCGCTGCTGTCGCCGAGACTTTCGTCAGACTCTTCGAGGAGGGTACCATCTACCGTGCCAACAGACTTGTCAACTGGTCTTCCCGCCTGACCACTGCTCTGTCAAACCTCGAGGTCAACAACAAGGAGCTGACTGGCAGGACATTGCTCGACGTCCCCGGCTACGAGAAGAAGATCGAGTTCGGTGTCATTATTCACTTCAAGTACCCCATTGAGGGCTCTGATGAGTTCCTCGAGGTCGCTACCACCCGTATTGAGACGATGCTGGGTGACTCGGGTATCGCCGTCCACCCTGAGGACCCCAGATATACGCACCTTGTTGGCAAGAGGGCCAAGCACCCTATTATTGAGGGTCGCTTCCTGCCCATTGTCGCCGACACTTACGTCGACAGGGAGTTCGGTACTGGAGCCGTCAAGCTGACCCCCGCCCACGACCCCAACGATTTCAACCTTGGTCAGAAGCACGGCCTCGAGTTCATCAACATTCTCACCGATGATGGTAACATCAACGAGAACGGTGGCAAGTACCAGGGCCAAAAGAGATTCGACGTCCGTTACGCCATCCAGGATGAGCTCAAGAGCCTCGGCCTCTACGTTGACAAGAAGGACAACGCCATGACCATTCCCCTCTGTGAGCGCTCCAAGGATGTCATTGAGCCTTTGCTGAAGCCTCAGTGGTACATGAGCATGCGCAGCATGGCTGATGACGCTGTTGCTGCTGTCAAGGATGGCAGGATTAAGATTCGCCCCGAGTCTTCTGAGCGCAGCTTCTACGCTTGGATGGCCAACATCAACGACTGGTGTATCTCCCGTCAGCTCTGGTGGGGACACCGCTGCCCCGTCTACCTGGCCAAGGTTGAGGGTGAACAGTCCGACTCGTTGGACAGCAAGCAATGGTTCGCTGGAAAGACTCGCGAGGAGGCCGAGGCCAAGGCCAAGGCTGCCCTCCCCGGCAAGAAGTTCACCCTGGAGCAGGATGAAGATGTCCTGGACACCTGGTTCTCCTCTGGCCTCTGGCCCTTCTCTACCCTGGGCTGGCCCAACAAGACTAACGATCTGGCTGAGCTGTACCCTACTTCCGTCCTTGAGACCGGTTGGGATATTCTGTTCTTCTGGATCGCGCGTATGGTCATGCTTGGCATCAAGCTTACCGGCCAGGTTCCCTTCACCGAGGTGTACTGCCACAGTCTCGTCCGTGACTCTGAGGGTCGCAAGATGAGCAAGTCTCTGGGCAACGTCATCGACCCCTTGGATGCTATCTCCGGTATCTCTCTGCCGGACCTCCACGCCAAGCTCCGCACCGGTAACCTGCACCCCAGCGAGGTCCAGAAGGCCGAGAAGTACCAGAAGACGGCTTTTCCCGAGGGTCTGCCTCGCAACGGTGCCGATGCCCTCCGCTTCACTATGGCTGCGCTTACCTCGACAAGCGGCGATGTCAACTTTGACGTCAAGGTCATGCACGGCTGGAGAAAGTTCTGCAACAAGATCTGGCAGGCGTCCAAGTACGTCCTCGGCAAGCTGCCCGAGGATTTCGTCCCTCTCAAGGAGCCCGCCGCCGGCAAGACGCTTGCTGAGAAGTGGATTCTTCACAAGCTCAACACCGCCGCCAAGGACATCAACACCGCTTTGGGCGAGCGCGAGTTCCAGCACGCCACGGGCATCGTTTACCAGTACATCCTCAGCCACCTGTGCGACGTCTACATCGAGAACAGCAAGGCCATTATCCAGGATGGTACCGAGGAGGAGAAGGCCAGCGCTGTCCAGACCCTCTACACTGCTATTGAGGGTGCGCTGACCATGATCCACCCCTTCACTCCCTTCATCACGGAAGAACTGTGGCAGCGCCTGCCCCGCCGTCCCGAGGACAAGACCAGGTCCATCATGTTGGCCAGCTACCCCGTCTACAACGCCAAGCTCGATGACCCCAAGTCCGAGGCCGCTTACGAGCTTGTCCTGGGTTGCTCTCGCGCCGCGAGATCGCTCATGAGCGAGTACGCCCAGAAGGAGGAGGCTAGAAGTAAGTCTTTCCACATGTTATGTATACGTCAGTCACTAACGCATTGCAGTCATTATCCAGGCCCACGACGCCACCTCTGCCTCCACCATCGAGGAGCAGGTTGCCTCCATCAAGTCCCTCAGCGGCAAGGGCGTCACCGGCATCGACATCGTCGCCCCTGATGCTGCCCGCCCCGCCGGCTGTGTCGCCTTCCCCGTCGCTTCTTCCGCCTCGGTCTACCTCCACGTCAAGGGTCGCGTCGACCTCGACGCCGAGATCGAGAAGGCCAAGAAGAAGCTCGACAAGGCCCGCACCAACATCGAGAAGCAGCGCAAGCTGGTTGAGGACCCCGCCTACCAGGAGAAGGTCGCGGAGGCCGTCCAGAAGGCCGACAGGCAGAAGGTTGTCGACCTCGAGTCTGAGGCGAGGGGTTTCGAGGGTACGATTAAGCAGTTTGAGCAGCTCAAGCTTGAGTAAGCGTATGTTGCATGATGAAGTAAGGAGCAGATGAGAAGAAAAGAAAAGGGGCATAATCGTCATATGAAAAGATTTCATTAGTTGTTTTTAGCACCTTGTTGACCCATGGGTAGACAGACCCAGAATACAAAAAAAGACGTTAGACATGGTATATTCAACACTTGGTGCCTTTTGACAGTAACTGAGCGACTCGCTGAAGCGATGATCGCGTGCATACATCGCACTCATGACATATAAAGTTCATGACATATAACGTCCCACCCAAACTCCGCATGAAGGAGGAAGCCAACTGCTCTCATTCCAATGCAAGTCGCCTGCCTTTCACTTGCTATTCAGACAGGTGCGCCATGGCAACCGACACCTTACTGCTTCTTCTTGGACGACGCGCCCTTCTTGTTCTCCTCCTCCTCGAGCTTGGCAAAGTCCTCGCGGTCCTTGCGCTCGGCGTACCACTGCCCGGCCTGCAGCACGAGGACGCCGACGAGGACGAGCGCGAGGATGGTGTTGCTCGCGGCCAGGACCTTCAGGCTGTCCTCCTTGCCGAGGATGACCTCGTTGTCGTCGCCGCCGTTGTTGTTGGCGGCCCAGTTGGGGTCGTCCCAGATGCCGGCGCTGACGGAGCGCAGGCCCTTTACGATGTTTGTGATGTAGACGCCGACGCCGATGAGGTAGAGGACGAGGGAGGCGCCGTCGAAGAGGACGTTTGCCTCGGAGGGGCGGAAGAGCTTGATGAAGAAGCCGAGGAAACCGGTGAAGACGATGATGTTGAGGAGGCGGCCGATGAGGGGCGGGGACTGGTGCATGAACTTGAGGTG